TATTTTATATAACTTTAGGCACAGAATTTGAATGAATATTAAAATTCTTACCGGAATTTGTGTTTGAATTCTCGATAGTTATATAGGAATCGCGATTAAGTAGTGGCGATGTCTTGAAGTTTTTGGGAAAGAAAAACATAGGTATCGAGCAAATCAATACGCCGGTGCCCAGTATGACAAACCCCAGCCACCAGGCGCCCACCCAGCGGGGGTCCTTCATAGAGATGCCAGGGTCGTCTATAAATATTAATTATGCAGTGCAATGTGGGTTATCAAAACAAACATGCATGAATATACATGAACTAATGATATTTATATTAATTAATAACTGAGGTTAGTGTATGAAAGTAATTTTTAATAATGTACGGTATTTATTATTTTAGCTATTTATAATTTTGTGTATTAGGATAAATTTAATAATTTAAAATTTTTTGCTTTTACTTTAATGAATTAAATAAAGCTATTTTGAGGCTAATATACAGTATAAATAATAACAGTTAAGCTCCTAATTCATAGGAATTTATGCATTATTTGCGAGCATTTCATGTGAAACCGAGTATTCATTCATTAAATTCATTCAATATTTTTCATACAAATGTTGTGTCTATTGTGTATTACTATATAAAATAATTTTATAGTAGATTGACATTACTATATATAAGGCATTATATAATATTTCATATTAATACTACTGTAGGCAAGTTTGTTATAAAAATTTTTGGTAATCAGATTAAAACTAAGTAGCATTTAATAAAATTTTTCCATTTATTATGATAAAATAATTAACATTAATAACCCCGTAGAGAATATGCTTAGTTTATAAATAGCAATATATTTAATATAATAATTATATAATTTATAATAATAATAAACTAGGGAATTCGTTATTTTGGGTACAGAATGTTCATTAATTTATGGTATATTTATAGTTTATATATTCTCGGTATAAATTATAGTACCGTAATATCCTTTTTATAATAACTTATTTTTACGGTATGTTTTATAAATTGAAAAACTTACTCAACTAAATATTGTCTATATTTATACTCGTTCATTTTACTTTAACAATAAGATATATTAAACCGAAATAAAAGATAGCTAAATTTCTTTATGTGTTATTTGAAGCGAAAAAGCTTTTAATTTACTATTGTTTTTATAATCGCATTGTATAAATAAAAATCGATAATTTATATACTATACTAAAAATGAAAACCATGATACTATAACTCAAGAAAATAAATTTATTTTATGTAATATCATTTTTTGACATTTTAAGCGGAATTCAAATGAAATATTTAATATAAAAATGGTTTTATATTAATACTGTTTAACATTAAGTAGTCTCTTAGCAAATGTCAAAAATAGTTTTAACATAACGTCAATAATATTATGTAAGATTATATAAATACAAATTTATGTCAAACCAATATTAAGCTAAATTAAATCTTATGTCTAGCTATAATAATATATGTTACAAGCAAAAATATATTTATGTAAATATATAATAATTATTTATCTAGAAAAAAAACCCACATATAAACTATTATATAATATACATGTATGTCAAAGAATTTTAATATTGCTGAATAAAATATCGGACTTATCATGAAGTTTTATTCACGAAATAAATTATTTAAATATCAATGAAAAACATATTCAATACATACGAAACGGATTCTCGTAGAAACGCAAACAAAATGATGATAAGAAGTAGCCCAGAGTGGGACCACCTAATCGTAGTGCTGCGGTAGTGCCTATCGGTTGGGAATGTATTAATTTATAATTTAAATTTCAAATAATACTAGGAATTTTATAAATAAAATTAATAGAAAACAAAAATCATTTTAACATAACATACAATGGGGAGCATACATTATTCATTTTAAAAAATCATATTAAATATTCTGTATTATAATGTGAATTCTAAACATTTTTAAGTATTAAAACTTTTTATTTATTTTATAAATATTGGATATTATAAAATAAGTTAATATTTTATAAGTTCCTAAAGCATGTTTCATATTTAATGTTTATTGTTTATTTTGATTTAAAAATAATAATGTATCAATAAAATAACAAATAATTAAAAATTCATTACATTATTAATAAAATATATTGTCTAATACTATCGTAACAGAGATAAAGTCAATGCTGTATAACCGGAAGACACAGAGTTATAGGAAATTAAATTAAGTAATCAATGCAATTATCTTAAGGCCTGTGTATGTAATGTAATGAACATTTTGCTGTTAATACACATGTATTGCACAACAGATGAGACAAATGGTTGTCATAAAGAGCAACAAAGTTTGCGATAATAAAAGTATTACTTTAGGAATAATAGCATTATATATAAAAATAATGGACACTATAATAAACTCTCTCTCTCTCCCTCTCTCTCTCTCTCTCTCTCTCTCTCTCTCCAGTGAGTGAGCACTTACTTATATAAATGGGTGAGTTTTTCTTATTCACGTTATCGTCTATGAAGGGAATGCCTATTATATAAAACGCTGTGAATCCGATGCCATTGCAACAACTGGCCAAACAAAATATGATAACAGCGGGTATGACAGCACCGCCAGCATTATAATCGCCACTACCATCGCCAGCACCGGTAGCGTTACAACTATCACTCACAACACTGGCACTATTATCACAGTATTCCAGGGCGGTTATGCTACTGTTCCGGCCGTTGGTATTAGTATGTAGCGCAGTATATTCATAGAGAAAGTAGGGCAGGGCTGCCAGATAACAACCCACCACCACCATGAGCTGGCACAGGGCTATCACACGGGGCCGGTGCACACGATTGGCCAGGTAGCCAAACAGGGGGTTTGCGACCAGTTGCATGGCGTTATCAGTCATGAGTATTAAACCGGATATTTTGCTGCCAAACGCGAACCGCTTTTCCAGTGTGGTTATGGAGGCAATCATGTAGGTATAGTTGGCCCCCTGTATGACACCTAACAGCGCGAACACGAGTAGGAATACCCGGGGAGTGGCGTACTTCTGGAGCCACTCCGGGCGCCACCGGAATATCCCGCACGAGTAGTCCCGCGGGTCTATCGGTGTCGTCGGAAAGCTTTTGTAACTCGACATTGGATTTGATTTTATCCTGAAAATAGGCATAAAATTAATTTAGTTTTATAATTGACTAGATCATTTTTAAATTAAGTTAGTTGTGTTATAATTATTAATATATTAAATAAAAAGGCTTTATAAATGAATTATTATGATATAAGTATAGTTATGTAGATTACTAACTTGTGTGTAACAAAGTACAGAGTGTAGTACTTTGATAAATTATTATATTGTATAAAAGTAATGTGACTTTTAATTAATTTATAATTTACACAGTTAGTTTAAAAGACATTTTATAAACATGTTTAATATTTTTCTAATAACTTATAATTTTGAAAATAAGTTACTAGTAAATCAACAAACAGAAAATTAAGTGAATATGATTGGGACTCAAATGACAAGTCAATGGCAAACAAATAGTTATCATTTATAAGAGGTCGGTGTATACCAGTTACCAGTATTTAATTTAGGTTATTACAATATAAACACACACACACTACACTCATAGTCTAAATTTAATACAAACTAAATAACTTTTAATGTTATTATACTTATATCTGGATATAATATAAAAATTGTAAAGTAATATGAATTTTTATTCAATAACCATTTTTAAAAAAATAAAATTATTATCATATGTTTTGCATATCCTTTCGTATGAAATAAAATGAAATTACAAATAATTTTACATTTGATTACAACTAATGCACTGTTTCTGTGTTTATAACTTATGTTTATAAAAATTGTCATTTTTGTGCGACAAACACATGTGTGTAAAACAGCAGTACATTATAATTAAGTTTTATTAGCGAAATAATCCCATTCCTCACATCCCTTATCATTTTTGGAGCCCATAGTGTATATAATATTTATTTTAAATTTAATTATTTTTTAGGCTTAAACATAACAAAATATATTATAAAGACTTAATTTAATTGTTATTTATGTCCTAAAAATCTAATATAGTTTTATGTTAAGAAATTTTATATACATTAGATTTAGACTTTAATTTATAAGGCAAAACAGTGCAAACATGTTAAGTGTCGTTCCGCACGTATAGCATATTAGTATGGGATTAGCGATTAGCCGCTTGAATGTCGTCCAAAACTCTCAAATAAATAAATTTACCGTATATTACACAAATGTGTACACAGTTTATGAGCGAGTAATTTACTAAAATAAATTTCAAAATAAACAGACTAGCTTGGTAAATAAATGATAGAATAGTGCAAAGAATGTTTTTTTCTAAAAATAGTCATTTAATGTGTAAATCATAAATATTTTCTGTATTATGTAGGTGTTGTACTGTACTGTACAACTTGTTCACTTAAAAGCACATTGTTTACTTAAACCTAAATAATCAAATTAATTTCAATAGACTGGTACAGAAAGTGTGGGACTTATTACACATATTATGCAAATTTCTTGAATAATTTTTTATATTATTTCCAGAGTTAGTAAACAAAAAAACTTAATATTTACTCTTTGCCTGTGATTTTCTATTCAAAACATTTTCTTATTTGATTTATAAGGCACTGAATATATAGTTATAATTACTTAGTCGCGCAAAATGTTTTTCTCTAAGGACTGGTAGTGACATATTAACAGCAGGGTATACGTGGTATTACCGCACAGTATAATCTCAAACATGTTAGAAATAAAAGTTTATTACACAGAATAATTATAAATGTATATATACAAGAATATGTCACTAATGCTTAATATCAAGTCATTTGCATACATAGTATTTTATATAACTTTAGGCACAGAATTTGAATGAATATTAAAATTCTTACCGGAATTTGTGTTTGAATTCTCGATAGTTATATAGGAATCGCGATTAAGTAGTGGCGATGTCTTGAAGTTTTTGGG